TCGCGCGCAATGCTCGATAACAGATAAAAAGCGCTCTTAAATCGTGTGTAGGCCTGTATCGGCAACGTAGCGCGGCCTGCTCTGCTCTCCACAGTACCTTCTATCACTGTGCCACCTTCGGGCGATTTCGTTTTAAACGTCTTGGTGTCGAGCAAGTGACGTCGGCGCCCTGGAGTGGTGCCTCTCAAATGGCACTACGATCTTAGTTTGGCGCGCATCTTGGATCGCGTCTCGCTACCACTGTACGCCTCGCACGTCGACGCAGTCTCGCATTCCGTACTATGCAAAGCGTCTTCTACCTATGTCACAAATCTTGGTCATTTGAGTTTCGAACACAACGTGGTCGACCTGACGATGGTTTGAAACCGGACGAAAATCGTGCTGTTTATGTACACTCGTCGCGCTTATCTGCACAACCTAGTCCACAATACCAACGAGACTGACGAATTCGATCCATTCGCGGTGTTTATCAAGGTGGTCGCGATACTCGGATGCGAGGCATGCGTGTGGCCTGTCGCACAGCAGATTTCGACACCTAACCCTATGTACTCGAAATCGCGGTTGGCGTTGTTGTGGCTTACTGGTCCGCAACGCGCACACGATCTTATCGAGCCATTCTCCAACACGTTCGTTATATAGACCACCTAGCAGCGCGCGCAACTGGTCCATCGCGGCTTCAGACATACAATACGGCGCCAGCGATTTGTTGCGTTCCAGGGTTAGTTTCAGAGCGAGGCATCGTGGACGACAGCGCTGAACCATCCCGTAAGGGTACTAGGCGTTTATAGCCCCGGAAGCGTGGCCATTGTGCGTTTTAGTCTCCCAGTCGTAAGCGATTCCCGCCACGACACTCCCAAAATGGCACCAAGATACTCTTGTTTGCCCCCACTCCACGCGCTCGGTGTTTACGAAGCGATAAGACGTGCTACGATACGGTAGCCGCCGGCAAGGAGGTTTGGCGCGGTCGACGTGCTCGAAGAAGGAATCAATTATTCCCGAGGAGGTGCTGCACGACGATTCTATACGGTGGCCCGCACCCAAACTCGACATCAGTAGAGCAACTCGTGCTTTACGAGGCGAGTATGTGCCCATGCATGTCCTGGGTGGCAAGTGATCATTAGATCGCGTCAGGCGTGAGGAAGACGACGTTTACACAGAGAACTCCCTACATGACACTTTGACACACGTTGTGGGAGTTTCAACGTATCGGTAGAGAGTATCAACAGAGTTTTTAGGAGCAGCAGGCATAGGCCAGCCAAACCTCGACGTAGTTTCGATTGGCTGCGGCCTGCTAAGTCTCGACCCGCCTCGCCACATCCCTGAACAGTCGAGATAATCGACCTCCTTTTGCCCCCTTTGCTGGTAACAAGCACGACTCTTGAAACGTAAAGCCGCGTGTGGGGCATGTGCAGAAAAATAGCCAACTGGCAACTATCCGTACGTCAAAGCAAGGTTTTGGTCGCTCGTATGCGTCTCGCTCTCATAGTGTCATTTAATGAGAGCGACCTGTGAGAGCAATCGAGTTGCCGCGCTACTTTGATCTCCACCAATCAGAAGTCTCAATTGTTAGCTCACCTTTGTCGATTGACCTATCACATCGTGCGATTTTAGTTTGAACTCAATGGGTGTGGACACGCATGGTACGCACACACGATCCAAAGACGCGGGAAAGATCGTATCTTTCGCCCCAGTGGTTTCATGCAACTTTTCACGAACGGTCTTGAATCTCATTGGTGCAGATAAGGCATCGCGAGTTGTGATTGGCTACAAAATTTTGGCCGGGCGAGCGCCCGTTCAAATCTCCCGCCAACAATGACGCCACACATGGTCACATCTCGATTTCCCCACCAACGATGAAGACCCGCATTGGAGTGTGGCTTGCGGTAGCCATTATCGTCCATGCCAACGCTGACAAAGACGTGGCATCTGTTGCGTCGCAGGACGTCACGAAGGCGACTGCAACATCCCGCGCTCTCGCAGCGGCAGAAACCGAGCTACAGCCGCAGCTCTTCAATACCATCACGAACTTACTCGATCCCATCACGGACCTGCTCGATCCCATCACGGACGTCATTGTGCCCGTGCTCGATCCCATCACGGACGTCATCGTGCCCGTGCTCGACCCCATCACGGGCCTGCTCGATCCCATCACGGACGTCATTGTGCCCGTGCTCGATCCCATCACGGGCCTGCTCGATCCCATCACGGACGTCATTGTGCCCGTGCTCGATCCCATCACGGACGTC